AGCAAAACATTTTAAATAACTATCGAGAGTCAGTGCTAACTTAGATGAGGGATTCTTGACCTAGAATAAAGAAGCCAATTATATAAAATTCTGATTCTTATTCCAATCAATAAAATTATATTTGGGTGGACTAGGAGTCTGACGTTTTTAGGTATGCCAAATCCCTATCTCAAATCAAAATACCAGGAATGAGATACTGGCTCAATATTTCAAAGTCAATTATAATACTAAAAAGTATATTGGATTTGGACTCAAATTTAATGAATGGTTTTGGCAATCTTTGACTTTTGTTTTGGCAATCTTTGACTGTTATGCTCATATTATATTGATAAAATTAACATTGATTTAACTTGGTTTCAAACTAAAGCCAATTTTTCAGGCATTTCCAATAATCCAACAACACAATTTACCATAGTAAGATCCTATGTTTTCAGAGCTCATGATTCTTACCTACTAGAATTTCTTGCCTAGCTGAATGGTTCAACACTAAGGTTAGAAAATACAGCTCTATTCTGAGCCTGGGGACCACCACCAGGGTTACACATAGTGATGCTCAGAGGGTCATACAAAGAATGTATTTGACCCCTGACCTATCACCCTAGCCAAGAATTCTGGTTTGGGGCCACACCCAGCTGATCTGAGGGCTTAAAAGATTTAAGCTGAGCTCAGGGATCACTCCTGGTAGAGTTGGGGGACCATACGAGGTGTCAAGTATCAAACCGGACTCAGCCACAGGAAAGGCTAGCATCTTACCCACTAATAGCTCTCCAGCCCTCCCACTTGCCAAGAATTTTAAGAGAACAGAAAAAGGGTTAAGATAAGTGAAAAGTGATAATCATCTCTCTTGTTCTCTGCAACAATTCAAAAGCCAACTAAGCCGACAGAATAAGACTTGGAGCCAGAGAGACAGAACAGCAGGTAAGATGTTTGCCTTATCTGTCTGCTCTGTTCACCAGATCACAATGCTTTTTGGTCATTATCAGTTACCCCAAGGTCACATGCTACCTCATTCATTTTCAGGTATACGTTTTCTTGAAGACAGAGAAATAGGAGATTGGTAGAGTTAGTAAGCTTTCTTCTTATCATGAATTTCAAAGACTTGGATACTTATCCTTCACTTTTTTTTTTTTTTATCAAGAACTGGGCTTTAGGGAAGTGGATATTAGTGGATTTGTGCTTTAAGGTTTTACCCCTAGAACTCAACCATGAATAATTTTGTAACTTTGTAATTCAGTTATTCAATAAAATTATTTTTTAAAAAGAAAAAAAAAAAGATGTTTGCCTTGCAGGATCTTACCAGGTTCAATCCCCATATGGAAGCCACCCGCCCCTCCGCTCCACCCTGCCCCTAGTACCACCAGGAGTGATTCCAGAGTGCAGATCCAGAAGTAAACTCTGAGCATCACCCCAAAACAGATAAAAAAAAATTTAAGACAGAGTCCGGGACGACAGTACAGGTATTAAGGTGCTTGCCTTGAACCAGGTTTCAATCCCCACCCTCCCATACAGTCCCCAGAACCCTTCAGGAGTGACCCCTATGTACAAAGCCAGGAGTAAGCCCCGAGCACCGCCGGATGTGCACCACTCCTCAAAAAGAAAAAAAAAAGTAAGACACTATATTGTCACTGCTTCCATAACACTTCTCTGAGGTACATATTACAAACACTATTTTATGGTGAAAACTGTTGGTGAAATTACTCCGTAAGTTTCCCTGATTCCTGCCATCCTAAGTAAGAATCAAACAGACTTACTCGAGAATCAACAAAGCATTAAAAGACAGAAGATAAAAATCTAGATTCAGCTATAAACTCAGGCTTAAGACCCAGTGAAGATGTTGTATTTTACATGCAGAAGGCCTGGGTTTGATCCCCAGCAATACACGGTCCCGCAGGCACCACCCGGAGTGAGAAGTACCCCGGAGCTCTGCCCGTTTTAAAAATCTAGTGATATAATAGAAGAAGTGTATGAGGGAGGATCTATCACAAATCCATATTTATATGCTGAAGACAGATGACAGAGAGAAGGCAGATTGATAGAGGCAGCATGGAAGCACTAAATGAATTTTTCTCCAAGAGTGACTGACCTGTGTGCTCCTATTTTTAGTGAACTTTATTTCTCAAGACCTAAAGACTCACTGTCATGATGTTATCTTTAGTCAAGTGATTCTTTCTGTTCTTGCCCAACTCTTACCCCTTTACATCACACCCTCAGAGAAAAGAGAAAAAAGTTTCTCAAATCACATGCAAATAAAAAATTTTAAAAACTATCGCTGGAACATAGTATGCCTAAAACTCAAGCATGAATAATTTTGTAAATCAGAGTACCTTAATTAAAAAAAAAATAGAAATGTTTGGAATTTAAAAAAAGTCAGACAATAAAAATTTAAAACAGAGATAAAGCATTTTGTAATTTATTATTACATTTTAAAAATTTGTATAAGATTATCCACAACAATTTATTATATCAATATTCCAACACCAATCCCAAAACCAATACACCTTCTCTACCACCATTATTTTGAGTTTTGCCAACTGCCACACAAGCCTAACCTATTAACAGGCCCTCAGTAATTTATTTTGTATTGCTTGTTATTAATAAGGTATAAGGTAAGGTAAAGGCCCTCCCGTTGATCATCGATTTGCTCGAGCGGGCCCAGTACCATCTCCATTGGAGACTTTGTTGTTACTGTGTCTGGCATATCGAATATGTCACGGGGAGCTTGCCAGGCTCTGCTGTGCGGGAGAGATACTCTCGGTAGCTTGCTTTAATAATATTCAAAAAAGGTTTAGAATAAAGTATGTGAAGATTGTTGTATTGAAGATTGCTGTATCTCACCCTGGGGCTTTTGAGTCCTTGAAATTCATTATTACAAATGGTTATAAACACTTGAGGAAAAAAGTGAAAAAAAAATTAGGTATCATCCAAACTATAAAAAGCCAAACAAATTCAAAACAAAGTCTCTGTAACTTAGCTCATACTATATTTTTCTATTAATACTGAAATCTTTTCAAAAGACTTTATGTAATTATAGTCATCTCTTAAGGCTACATATATTTATATTTAAAAAGTGACTTCTGGGGCTGGAGAGATAGCACAGCGGGTAGGGCACTTGCCTTGCCCATGGCCAATCCAGGTTCAATCCCGAGCACCTCAAATGGTCCCCAGGTCCCGCCAGGAGTAATCCCGAAGCACAGCCCAAAAACAGAAACAAAAACAACTTCAATCTTCACTTATACCTTCATATAAAGAATACATAAAAAATTTTTCATTCACAGGGCCAGAAAGCACAGCAGTTAAGGTGCTTGCCTTGCACATGACCAACCGAGATTCAATTTCCATTACTCCATAGGATCCCCAAACGCCACATGAGTGACTCCTGAATGCAGAGCCAGTAGTGATTCCCGAGCATCACTAGGTGTGGCCCCAACAACAAAAAATTTCCATTCACAAGTTAATGGCCAGTGGCTATGCCAGGTACACCCTATTACTAACCCCATGTAACATGCCAGGCCTGAAGGTAAGAATCTTGAAAAATAGTTAATATGTCATTCTTATGAGACAGCATAATAATACTCACTAAAATATCTGCAATTCAGCAGTTTCTCAAAAACAATGCTCCAATTTCAATTTCAGAAAAGTCATGAAAATGCCTCTAATTCAGCCATAGCAAAATTTTGAAAAACCACTGAGGATCTAATGATTCACAAAATAAAAACGCTTACAAGTAATTGCACAATGTTAGTAAGAGTCTGACAGATAGTGCTACTGAAATCAAAACTGATTTCTCTAACTATGTCTCCATGTTTGGCTACGGAACCAATGATTTTACTAAATACAGATTTTCTTAAAGAAAATTACTCGTCCAGAAAACTGCTTTTCTTTACAACTAGGTGGCCAAGACCTGTCAAAGTGCACCAAAAATAAAGTAACTTGTTGAGCAAGCTAATACAGAGACCATACAAGTACATCTAAATTTTTTTTTAATTTTGCAGTAATATTAAGATGTAACCTTAATAGTTCTTATTCTTTCAATTTGGCCAACTACTTACCTAATTTAGCAAATCTTTACAAGATTGTTACTTACTGAAAGCTATGTATGAAAGCAAGATCGCTGGAGAATTTCAGTGAGGACAAAGAGAAATAAGTAATGGTAACATTATTACCATTCTTCAGCTAGAGATCGCTTGGATGAATCTGTTACCTGCCACCTCCCAGCAAAGCATCCCCCATGGACTGTTTTGCTGAAATTATCAGTACACTATATGCAAAATCATATTGTAGTTGTCCCCACAAAAGTGTCTAAAGTATTCCTCCACTTGAAAAAGGCCCAGAGGGACGGCACAGTGGACTAAGCGCGCGCGTCCCACGCCGGAGCACCGGGTTAGACCCCTGGGACCACATGGACCGGGGGGGCAGGCCAGCTCCGAGCCGCCTGCCTGGAGGTCACCCGCTCCCCAGCACCGAGTGGGAGGAGCCCCCGGGCACTGCCACACGGGGGCGACCCCCCAAATGAAGTTCATATAATAATAAAAAGGCTCCTGGATGGAGGCTGGACGGACCCGAGGTGCCGCGATTTCCCCGGTGGTTTCCCGTACCTCTCTTACCGGACACGGGCACTGGCCAGTGACCATTAAGTGCCGGCAACATCTAAGTGTCCGGATGCTTGCTTTGAGTTTGATTCCTAAATTCGATTTTTTTTCCTGGCGTCCGTCCCGGCAGGGCCTGGCTCGCCCGGGGTCGGAAAGGAACATGCATCGAAAAAAGAAGCGCAAGGCCAAGAAAAAAAAAAAAAAAAGACAAGCCCCCAGCCCCCAGCCCCCAAGGCGCTGGCCGCCGGGCGCGACCCCGGACGCTCTCCCGAGCCTCACTCCCCTCCACGACGCCGCCCTGCGCGCAAACCAGTGCTCGCCGCGGCGGCCCCCGCCCCGGCCCGCCGCCCCCGGCGCCCCCTGCCCGGGTTCCACCAACCGCCCGGCCGCCCGCAGCCCGGGCCCCCTCACCTCGGCGCCCGCGTCCGAGCTGCCGTCCGAGCCGCCGTCCGAGCCCGACGCCCGCGGGGCCTCGCCCGAGCCCGGCGCCCCGAGCGGCGGGGGCGGAACCCGGGCCGGGGACGGCGACTGCAGGCGCGGACGGTGGCGGCTGCGCGCAGGCATCGCGCCGGCCCCGCTCTCCGCCGCGCCCGCAGCGGCCGCGCGGCGAACCGGAAGTACTTGGAGGGGCGGGGCCCGGGCCGGAAGACACGCGCGGCTCCGGGCGGGCGCGAGGCGGGAACCGAGTCGGGGCCTCGGCTAGGGCGGCGGGGAGCGCATGCGCATGCGCGCGGCCGGGAGCCCGCCGCGGGATTAGCGGGAAGGCGCGAGGAGCGTGGAGCGCGCCCGGCGGGTCGGTGCACGAGGGCCGGACGCTCGCAGCCCCACTGCCTTTGGAGGGGCCGCTCTCTTCGACATCCACCCCCACGCAGATTGCTGTGTGTGTGTGTGTGTGTGTGTGTGTGTGTGTGTGTGTGTGCGCGCGCGCCCGCGCCTCTCTCTGGCCTCTTATGCCAAATTTCATAGAAACATCTAACAGAATCTTTGCGCGAACTCTACTGGGTATTTACAACACAGAAGTGCCAAAACATGTGCCAAAGTCAGCACCTAGGATGTTCTCACTGCACTATTTGCCTTCCCCCTGAGGGATGTCCCCTTGGACAGCCTCGCATTGGTATAACCCAATACCCGGTCTTGCTTCCATTCAGTGCGGGGTAGATTGCAGTCATTTGGGTGGGGCGAGGTCCAGAGGTTCTGAGGTCGACCCACGGCCTGGTTACTTCCATGGATTGACCTGATGTGGCTTTTCTGGGCAAGCTGGCGTCAAGGTCCAGCTGGAAGTCTTCTCACAATTTCATCAGGATACTCCTTGCTTTGGAGGTAGTGGGAGATGCACACCAGGCCATGCTCAGGGCTCACTTCTGGCAGGGGTCAGGGACCATTTGGGGCTCCCAGGACTGAACCCGAGCCCACTGTGTGCAAGGCAAGTTTCTTATCCCTGTTCTATCTCTCGAACCCCTGCATTTCTGAAGTACCGCAAGAGTAGGTTGAGTCTCACTAACGCTCATAAAAAGCTCTAGAATGACAGAATCAGGTATCCATTTTTTTGTCGCTGTTGTTCTAGGAAATAAAATTCTTATAGGCAGAGAAATCTCCCTCCTACCCCAAAAATGTTTCCGGTGACAGGTCTGTTCCATTTCCCGAAGAGTTGGGACAGCATGTGCTTCCCTTCTACCCCTTTTTGATGCTACATGAGCCATTTCACCATTCTCTTTTGAGAAATCAACCCTCTTCGTTATAGAATTGCTTCACCCCATTAGATTAGGTAGGTCAGGTCCTCCAAGCCTCCCTTTACATTTCTCATAACTCAGAACATTTCCCCCAAAACCCACAATCCGGAGACTCCAATCTCTAGTCCCACCCAATTTGTGGCCCACCCAGACCTGCAGTGCTGGCCCCCCTCTACTTCTACCATGGATCTCTACTTTAACTCAGTCCTCGGAATCAGCCTTATTCAAGGTCTAAACTCAATTACCAGCAACTGGTTCTTAAGCAACTACTTTGTGTTATATGCTGAACACCCTTTGTTTCATTTCATCCTCACAATTCTTTGAGGATGTGAGGATGGAAACGACCGCGAATCACGACCATCCTGTTATTCGTCGATTGCCTCGAGCAGGCCCCAGTAATGTCTCCTTCGTCCTAGCCCTGAGATTTTTAAGAAAGTGCCATATTCAAGGCTCTTTAGGAGAATGAGACCCATCATTGTTACTGGTATTTGGCATATTGGGTACGCCACGGGGAATTTGCCAGACTCTGCCATGTGGGTAGGTTACATTCGGTAGCCTGCCAGTTTGTCCAAAGTAGGAATGAGATAATAAGATGTCGAGCTGCCGCGCGCTTCCAGGAGCTGGGTTTTATAGTCTCTGAGTCTTGGCTGTTGATGGGATTACACAGCGCCAGGGGGCCAGTTGGTGGGTGTGACCCCCGGCTACTGGAATTCGGAGGATCTGGGTGGAGGATGCTCAGCTCCGATCCGAGTAGGCTTGGAGATCTCAGCCCCGGGACCCGCTTGCCTTTGTTCCTCTGCCGGTACCTTCAGGTGTGCAGAGAGTGGTCTCAGACGGAGAGGATGGAAATAATTGTAAAAAAAAAAAAGGGGGGGGGCGGTGGAGGGGCATGGATGTTCTGAGCCTTTGCCCTGTATTCTGGAGAACTGGGTTTAATCTACCATCACCACCTCTACACACACACACACACACACACACACACACACACACACACTTCAGGCTGGAGAACCAGCTCAACAGGCTGGAGTGCATGCTTTGCATTCAGGGGGCCTGGTTTTGATCCCCTGTACACCATGGCCCCCTGAACACCTGCAGGAGCTCTCAGGTGTGGCCCCCGAACCAAACCAAACCAAACCAACAAATGAGACTGGGCGAAGTCAAGTGACTTGCAAAGGCATGTCTGATTCATGTTGTCACAACTTGGAGATAGAGGGTGACCTAGAGAGGAAAATGTCCTGTCCCCTCTGGAGGCCACTGTGGCTTGCTGAGTCACTTGCTCCTGTCCCACCTGTCCCTGCCAATCTCCGGGAAGGAGAACGATACTGGAGAGGCAGAACGGAGTGACCGCAGAGACCGAGGGGCGGGTGGGTGTCCCAGGCTGGCCCATGGCTGAGGCCTCACTGCCAGTGCCAAGTGGAGCCGCGGAGGACACCCCCTGCCCCAGCATCCTCGAGCTGGAGGAGCTCCTCAGGGCAGGGAAGGTCTCCTGCAGCCGAGTGGACGAAGTTTGGCCCAACCTATACATAGGAGATGCGTGAGTGTCAAGCTTGCCCAGAGCGTGTGGAGGTGCGGATCAGGAGAGATGGCTCTTGGGCTGTTTACCAGAAATGCGGGTGATGTGAGAACAGGGGAAATAGTTCCACTGGAGTTTTCTGAACCGGCAGGGACTTTCTCTGGACCTGTCTGGTAGGGATAGTGCAGTGCCAGATTGGGACCGCCAGGGGGAGCATGACGCTTGCCTGCCAGAAAGGAAAACCCCCAGAGGCTCCCTTCCAGGGTTCCACCACACCCAGGCCAGACCTGGAGCGCAGCGGAGGTTTGGGGCTGGAGATGGGCAAGACAGCTCCCTTTCTGCCTGCCAGCTTCGCCCTCTACAACCAGAATGGATGAGGAAGGCTGAGCTAAGGTGAATCAGGGAAGATCAGAGGCAGGTCTGCAGTCCTGGGCAGGAGAGGCCGGATGCGCGTGGGAGAACCTGGGGCAGGAAGGGAGGGGCAGCGGGTCCCTGGGATGAAGCAATCCTTCCTTCCAGCTAAGGCTGAGGCACATCACTGCAGGATGCAAATAGGCTCCAAAGATAACTCGGTCTGCCCTCACCTCCGCACAAGAAAGTTCAGTGGGCGGGCTGTGAGCTCTGGATTCTGGCTTCCGCCTTTAGACCCTCTGAAGCCAGTGTCCTGGGAAAGCCCCCTTCTGGGACTCCTCAGCTCAGCCAATACCAATGCCCTTCCTCCCCCTTCAGGGTTACGGCCAATAATCGCTTTGAGCTGTGGAAGCTGGGTATCACCCATGTGCTGAATGCTGCCCACGGGGGCCTCTACTGCCAGGGAAGCCCTGACTTCTACGGCAGCAGTGTGAACTACCTGGGCGTGCCAGCCCACGACCTCCCCGATTTCGACATCAGTGTGTACTTCTCCTCGGCAGCTGACTTCATCCACGGGGCCCTCTGCACGCCTGGGGGTAGGACTCTGGTCTCATATCCCCACTCTACTCTGCATCTGGGGAACACGGCTCATTTCCCTCAGAAATCAATGCCCCCCCCCACCCCTGGTTTGTGTAGTTGCTGTGTGTGTGTGTATGTGTGTGTATTTGGGACACACCAGGCAGTGCTCAGAGCCTGCTTCCAGTTCTGTGCTCAGGGGTCACTCCCTGGGATGCTCAGGGAGGAATCATGCCATACTGAGACTCGAAGCCAGGCCCCTGCATGCCAACCATAACTCAGCCCTTGGCGCTAGCTCCTGTCCCCTATCCCGAGGGGTTTTTGTTTGTTTTTGTGTCTATGTTTTGGTCACACCTAGCATTTCTCTGGACTTATTCCTGGCTCTACACTTAGTCCTGATGGTGCTGGGGGACTGTATGGGATGCTGGGATTGAACCCAGGTTGGCAACAACGTACAAGGCAAGCACCCACCTCTGCGGACCCTCCCATCCCCAGTCTTTCAAAGACTATCAGGTTTTAAAAATTCCTTGGCTTGGTGCTCCGGCAATTTACACAAGTGCATTGCTTCCCAGATGGGGAAACTGAGATCTTAGATTGTAGGTCAACCCACAGGGTGTAGGATAAGACTGTTTTGTCCTTCCTGCACAGCCTCAGGTAGTTTAGGTTTATTGGGTTGCTCCCATCACAGTGCTCCCATTCTTCTGTGTTTATTTGTAACTTTCTTTGTGCTCTATTGACTTGTAAATATTGTTTTTCTCTTCTCCCTAAGTCCTTTGCATAGTTTATTCAGAGCAATGTCCTTTTTGTATGGACACAAGAAGACAGTATATGCTTTTGTTATGTGACTCTCAGTGATATTTTTCTCCTGGGCATCTTTTTTCTCACCTAAGCCTCAGCTGCCTTTACTTCCTAGTGCCCCCAAAAGCACGGTCCGGAGGAGGGACTGGATGGAACCAGGGCAAGTGGTAAGGTATTTGCTACCCTGGCATCAAGATGGGCCCGGCCAAAGCGCCATAATGCTTAACTATAAGTTAAGAGCATGAGCATGGACAAATGCTGTAATGATCCAAAAAGTAATAACTAGATTTGGACCCTGCTAGGGTTAGGAATGATTAATCTGGCCTGAGTGCTGTAGTTTGAGTCTGTGGCAAGATGTTCCCGGGAGAGCTGCCTTACAAGCCTCAATGTTATCTCTTACTGTGTCCATATAAAAATAGCTAGTATTGATACTTGATAGTTATTGGACTGAGGAAAAGAGAAAAACACCTTAAGGGGTATTTTGCCCTTGGGCAGTCAGGAAGGGCTTTCCTATGTTGATTTGGCTACCTGACTGGGGGCAGTGTCAGGCTGGAGAGATAAGGGAGTTGGAGACAAGAGAGCTGGAGAGAGGAGAAAGCAGGGCAGCAAGATGGACCTTGGAGAGGCTAGCAAGGGGAACAGAGAGAGAAGAATGTAGAAGAATACAGACCCAAGCATGTGGAGAGGGAGAGAGAGAGAGCCCAGGCTGTGAGATGGAGCAGAGGGATGAGCGGGAGAGACAGAGGGAGACAGGAATGAGAGGCAGTGTGAGACTAGAATGGGAGGCTCAGAGAGATTGGGGCAGGCGCTTGGCGAGAATGGAATAAATGGCAACTGATCAATCAACCGGCTTGGCCCTCGCTTCCTCTGCCGTCTGCCCCAGAGCCCGGGATGCCCTTCCTGGGGGGAGTGGCCCGGGGCACACCCCGAACAGAAGGGGGGGAGAGAGCCTTTGGGGCCACCCTGGGGGCAGAAGCCAAGCAAGTCTTTGAAAGAGTGAAATCACACACACACACACACACACACACACACACACCCCTTCTGCATCACTCAGCCCTGGAAAATCACCATGTGATACCTAGACATGGACATCTGATTTATTTCCCAAAGTGCTTTCAAACAGGAAAAAAATCTTCTAATTCCCAGGATACAACAAGGAGCCTGGGAGAGCTGGAGCTGTTTTGTGTTCACACTGAGTGTCAGCCCTGCCCATTCCTGACCAGGGCAAGCTGATGTCCCTCTCTAGACTTCAGGTGCTCAGCCAAAACACAGACTCTCTTAGTGCCATAGGGAAGTCCCCCCCCCCCCCCATACACACTTAAAAACAGTCAGTGCATGTCAGACATTTATTTGTTCTCCCAGTAGCTATTTTTTTTTTTTTGCTTTTTTTGGGTCACACCCGGTGATGCTCAGGGGTTACTTCTGGCTCTGCACTCAGGAATTACCCCTGGCGGTGCTCAGGGACCATAAGGGATGCTGGGAATCGAACCCGGGTTGGCCACATGCAAGGCAAACACCCTACCCACTGTGCTATTGCTCCAGCCCCTCCCAGTAGCTATTTAGCATCTTCTCCGGGCAAACTTCTCAAGGTCTGGGTACCGCAACTCTCCACTTAGACAAGGCAGGGTCCCTGCCCTCATGAAACTCCCCCTTGTTATGTGTGGCGGAAAGACAGTGGATTTGTGAAATATTGTGAGTCTTCTGAGTGTGCACAGGTGAAGTGAGCCACTGGGGCACAGGGCGGGAGTCAGAGGGGTGTGGCTTCCCATGGCAATGGTATTCACTCTTGGGTCACATTCAGGAGGAATGAGCCTCTTGGTGATTAAGTGAGACTGTGCGTGGCAGAAGATCCTGTGTGGGGAGATCATGTCTCAGCTGGAGACAGGCAGAGGAGTGGTAGCCTGGATTGGTCAGCCTGTGAGCAGGAGACGAGTTTTACAGGTAGCTGGACTTCATGTGCTAAGGTTAGCGACCAGAAATCACAAGGAACGGGAAGTTTTCCAGGGCTGAAGAGCTGAGGGCTGAGTGGGATGGACGGAGATGAGGCCACAGGGTCAGCAGGACTGTTTTGCCTTAGCAGGGGAAGCCGTGCTAAGGACTTCGGACCCCATCTCAAGGGCTGGCATAGCAAGAGCATAGACGGGCCACGGCCCCTGGGTGTTGACAGGTCCATCTGATGGATCTGGACACAGATGCCCACCAAGGTTAGACCTACCTGGCTGGATTTTTTCCAAGTCAGAGCAGGAAAAGGAACTTGGTTCTCCTGGCAGCCTCGGGGTGGCTCAAAAGGAGAGAATGGGTCACTGACCGCACCTGTCCCCGCAGCCAAGGTCCTGGTGCACTGTGTGGTGGGCGTGAGCCGCTCTGCCACGCTGGTCCTGGCCTTCCTCATGCTGCGTCAGCACCTGTCCTTGCGCCAGGCCGTGGTCGCTGTGAGGCAGCGCAGATGGATCTTCCCCAACCGCGGCTTCCTCCGTCAGCTCTGTGCGCTGGACCAGCAGCTGCGCGGCGCAGGCCGGAACTGAGTGCCCAGGTGAGGGGTGGGTGGAAATGAGGGGTCAGCCAAGGGGCACCGGGTGTGTGGGACATGGGGTGGGCCCTGTTCGGAGGCTGCTCCTCAGGGCTGCATGTGGCCAGAAGTGGGTGAGGAAGGAGGCCTGGCTCACTGCCCAGGCCGCCAGGCTCCCCTCCCTGACCCGAGGGTGCCGCGGGCCCTGGTCGAATTCATTCCCTGGTAGGTCTCCTCCTGCCCCCTCGCCCAGACTCCTCTGGGAAGGCCGGGAAGGCTCCTGAGCCTCAGCACGGCCAGTACCCGAGGGCTTTCCTCTGCGTCCGTCCCCTAGGGTCAGGCCCCTGTGAGGTCCCTGGCACCGCAGCCTGGATCCAGCCTTAGCCAACTTGTGCCACCACCACTGGCAGGGAGCAGAAACAGGAACTCCTGCCACCAGCCAGGGCCCCCTCCCGCTGCCCAGCTGCACAGAAAGGCTGCCTTTCACACCAGCACCCTGCACCTCCCCTCACCCCTGCTGGCCCCACTTTCGAGCCCAGAGGTGTCCAGAAGACTCTACCTAAGCTCCAGCCCTCTCTGGCCCTGAGACTCCTGTAAGGTCTCGCCAGGCTCCTTCCTGCTTCCGTCACCCTCTGCCCTCCTTCTCCTCCGTGGCCACAGATGGTCATAAAGATGCCTGCGGGCTGGGAGTCAGGGGCACAGCACTCTCTCTGGCCAAGCCACTTTGCTCCTGAGGGAGTCTCCCTGTTCCCAGCTGCCTGGCAGGAGCTGGACTCACAGCAGTGACACTTCACAGGTGCCTCAGGCTCCTGGCCCTTCGGTTTCTTGGGCAACACCTGGATTTTCATCTATCTCTTCTGGGAGGAGGCAGAAGCTTAGCTCCCCACACTTCTTGTGGGGCTCAGCCCAGGATCAGTTATGAGGGGCCTTTTCCTTGAGGCTCACCCACGCTCCACCCGGCCCATTTGGCCTAGTGTCCACTCCTCAGATGCACATGTCCTTTTGGGCCATCAGCTTAGGGGCAGCACCCCAGACCCTGCTTCCTTCCTCTCACCTCAGCCCTGACTTGGGCTGACCCCACCACCCCCGAACTCGGTGTGGGGACGGCGACTGGGCACATTGGGCAGAGCGGCAGACCTCTCTTCCCGCCAAGAGCTTTCCAGGCAGAGCTGCGTGTCTCTCCACCCCACCCACCCATCAGAGCTGTGGTGATGGAATCCCCTTTCTCAATCTCTTCCTGGTGCTGCTGGGAGGGAGAGTATAGTTTCCACACTGCGAGTTTTCTTCAGTCATGCTTTAGGGACCCAGCAGCAGTAGTTCTCAGATTATTTGGGTCACCCCCTTCTCACCCTTGCCTCTTAGCCACCCTGACCTCAGATTCTTTCTCATCGTGCTACTGACCTGGATGGAGTCTGCTGGGGTATAGCATTGCATCATCAGGTGAACTGTCTGTACTAGTGGGAGCCCAGGGACTGTGCAGTGCACAGCCCTGGTAACCATACCCAGTAGCCCCAGGACTGGAACCCTGAAAATTGAGGGCACTGTGGACAGAAAGAACCCTATTCTCTCTCCGAGCACCAGGCCTCACCTCACACAGAGTCTCAAAGGGGATTCAGGGTTCTTAGGCAGCTCTACTTGCGCCCTGATGCGTCTCAGCCCGTCTGGACTGGGCTGACTTTCTTGTAACCCGGAGCTCCCCTCTCATCCCCTGCAGAACTGGGCCATGTTATCTGCCTTGAGGCTCTGCCCCCTTGCCTCCCTGGTGTCTCTGCTGGTGCTGCTGGAGGTTCTGGGCCAGGTGGATGCCCAGGTGATGGTGAAAGCCCGCAGGGGTTTCTTCTGGCTTCGAGCCCGCCCCTCTAGCTGTTTGCTACTGAAGCCGGCGCTTCCTCTCAGCCACTGTCTTCGGCCCCCACAGGTAGGAGCAGTCTGTGTCCTGCCCAGCCCTGAGATCTGTGTGGCTGGGACACTTGTGAGCCAGGCGCGTCCAGAGGAGGACGGGAGGAGGGGACTCTGGGCCTCTTGATAGCTTCTGGCTGCAGCTGCCTCTCCAGATCTTTCCAGGGCTCAGGGAGTCTCTGATCAGCCTCTCCACAGCTCACACTTCAGCCCAGGGTCAGTATGGGCGCAGGTTTACACGTCTGTGTTGTGTCAGTGCCCTGGGGAGAGTGGGAGGGAGTTTGAAGTATGGGAGTATGAAGAGGATCTCTGGTTAGCAGGGAGGTGCAAATCCAAGGTTTCCACCTGAGTCCTGTTAGCCTTTTTTTTTTTTTCCTTTTTGGGTCACACCTGGCTCTGCACTCAGGAATTACCCCTGGCGGTGCTCAGGAGACCATATGGGATACTGAGAATTGAACCCAGGTTGGCTGTGTGCAAGGCAAACACCTGACCCGCTGTGCTATCGCTCCAGCCTGAGAGTGCCGTTGGCCTTGGGAAGGTCTTAAAGACCACTTTTCTAGCATCCAAGGACATGGGGTGGCCAGGAATGTCTCTGGGTGGGCAGGGGGGAGGCTTGAAAGAAGGTTAATCCCTGGTGCTACATATGGTTCCTCCCAATCCGGGCAAGAAGTGACTCCTGAGCACAGAACCAGTCGTAAGCCCTGAGCACCACCAAGTATAGTCCAAAAAAAGGAACAAGAAGAATATTCAGGACAAAATTGATGATAACATCAAAATAAGCCAAACCCAAGGACTTTTCAGGGTTTATAAGTTTATAAGAAACAAGAAAAATACTGTGACTGTGTAGCAGAAACAACAAGGGGGAAAGAAGGAGGGAAGGAAAAAAGGAAGAAAGAAAGGATGGAAGGAAAGAAGAAAGGAAAAATGTTAGGCATTTCAATGAGGACTTAAACTTTGATGTCACTGCACACAACATGCGTGTTACATGGCTTAAAATTCTATGGAATGGTGCTAAAAAGGATTCTGAACTTGACAGCTGTTTGGCTGGAAAGCAGAGTGACCTGAAAGTTAAGGCACTGGAAAAGATTTTTGGGGAAGGTCAACAAGATGAGAGATTAGAAAAGTCCCACCCAGATGCCTACTGACAAGCCACTGCTTCAAGCGTCCTGCAGGCTGGGGTTATTGGGTCTGGGCCACCGACAGCCTGTGAAATCCTGGGGTCCACACCTGATGCATGATGGGACAGGCATGGGTGCTTCTGTCGACTGTGCAGTCTGTCTGTACTGTAACTCATGGATGATGTTAGAAATATTCAAATGGCCCTTGACAGAAAGAAGCTTCCCCCCTTAGCTAGAGTTAAACCATTCACTGTTGGTGAGGTGATAGGACAGCCTTGCAGCTTAGAGGTTCCTCCAAAACTTTTAGGTCATCAAGATGCCCCAACGGGAAGTAACATTTCAGATAACACCCTGCAGAGGAGAGCTGTTGACAGGACCCGGGTATTGATGAGTAGGGAGGAGAGAAGGAAATCGAGACCGTTTCCACTTTATGTGGGTCAATGGACATGACACCGTGCTGCTGTACTCTGCTGAGTGAGGCCAGTGAGGAGGAAGGCTCCAGGGAAGAACATCATTGCTGCCTCCCCTGGATCAACCTGTCATTCAGAGCTGAGTGCCCTGGAGGAGATCTGCGTCAGAGCATGTGTGGTGCCGTGCACAGATTGGGCATTGCTCAGGAGAGAAGGGACAATGGAAAGATCGCTCTCCCTTTACTTACAGGAAGTGCGTCCCTGCCTGCAGGACCCACCTCACTGCACAGCAGCTTCCCACTGAGCCAAGTGCTGCCATGTACGTTGTGGAGAAGACCAGTGGGAAGGCCGATGCGAGCTAAACTCCCAGCCAAGATGCCATGCAGGAGTAGGAACACCAACAGCCATGTGTCATCGGTGCAGAAAGAGGTGGTTTGAGAGAAATGTGTTCTCTAGTGTCTTGTCCAACTAAAGAAAGGAGCCACGCAATTTCAGGGAGAGGGGAGTGCTTGCAGAGCCTCTGTCAAGACCGTGGATTGCCGAGACTCATGTTTGTGGTGCCCTCTTCGAGATCGGAGTACTTTTCCTCCACTGGCTGCAGGCAAAAATATAGTCATGTACAAGAGGAAGATAAATGCTTCCTTCCATTAGGGATTGGAGAGGTGGATAATAGAGAAGGTGAGATGCTTGCCTTGCATGTACCTGACCCGGTCTGACCAGGTTTGATGCCTGGCACCCCATATGGTCCTCCTGGAGAGAAGTTCCCTGAGTATAGAGCCAGGAGTAAACACTGGGGATCGCTGGGTGTAGCATTAAAACCAAACAGCAAAAATAGATTCTTTGATTTTTGTTTTGTTTGTTTTTGAGACACACCCAGCAGTGCTCAGGGCGTACTCCTGGCTCTGCAGTCAGGAATTACTCCTGGCAGACTCAGGGAACCCTATGGGATGCTGGGCATTGAAACTGCGTCTGCTGTGTGCAAGGTAAGTGCCCTACCTGCTGTACTATCCCTTTAGCCTCTACCCCCCCCTTTTAAAAAAAAGAATCGTTAATTGCTGTGGCAGAAAAAAAATTTAGCAATTCAGACTCAATAAGTCAACACTTTAGGCAACTAGCTGAAAACCTTAATCATTATTGCCCTTCTAAAGTTTCCTTCTAAAGGGGAACTCTGAGAAGATGTCACTCGTGTGTACTTAATCTTCATGAAAAGAAATTCTGATGTCACTCTGGCTTGCAGGAGTGGAAGACGATCACCATCTCAGGCACAGAGCAATGACTCTGGCGGCCGTCTTGTCCCCCGCTGGGGTGTGTTAGAAGACTGTTTTAGCCCTGATCATGATAAAATCCAGGGAATTCAAATGGAAGTCCACACAGCCGTTGTCTCTCTGAAATAGTGCTGCGACCACAGCTATGGAAAGGTCTAGCAAAGCAACAGTAGATTGCACACAAACACGATAAATTGAATTAAATGTTGCTTTCTCAAAACTTTGAGGTGTTCTACCATTAGCATTTTTATTGTTCATTCTTTTGTTACTTATTTTGATTCTTGGACCATACCAAAGTACCATGCCAAAGGTCCTTTGATTCTGTTGAGACTGAAGCGGTCATTGAAGCCCTAGCCAAATAGGGCGTTCAAACTCAGTACATCAGGATCCTCTGTGAGCTGTATTACGGATTCACCAACAGGATCTCACCATTCTACAAGGAAGTGATCATCAACATAAAGGGAGGGGTTCAGCAGGTTGATACCATTTCACTGAAACTCTTCAGTGCCACCCTCGAGAATGTTCATGCGACAACTGGAATGGGAAGGAATGGGAGTGAAGATAGATGGTTGGCAACTACACCAGCTCCGCTTTGCTGATGACATCATTCTAATAACACCAAACATTAGCCAAGAAGCACAAATGCTGGCCAACTTCGACCATGAGTGTGGAAAGGTCAGACTGCAGCTGAATCTCACAAAGACAATGTTCATGAGAAATGAACTAGTTCCCGACCTTCCATTTGCTCTCAATGGAATGAACATCTCCGAATGCAGCAGTTACGTGTACCTGGGTCGAGAACTCAACATGACGAACGACTTGGCACCAGAACTGCGCAGGAGGGAGAGAGCAGTGTGGAACGCCTTCAAGAGCATCAAAGAAATTGTTTAGAGGACAAAGAATCTCTGGCTCTGGGCACATCTTTTTGACTCCACCATTCTTCCTGCACTAACATACGCCTCAGAGACCTGGGCCCTACGAAAACAGGATGAGAATGCTATTCAGGTCTTTCAAAGAGGAATCGATAGAGCTATGCTTGAAGTATGACACTTCACTCAAGTGAGGGAAGGAATCTGGAGTTCTGATCTCCAGTGATGACCAAGGATCAGGAACGCTGCCTCATTTGCCCAAGGCGTCGAAAATCAGATGTGCCGGACACATAATGCATTTTGGAGATGACTGCTGGACTAGAACTGTTATCGACTGGATTCCACGGGATGTGAAAAGAATGCCTGGCTACCCATCTACAAGATGGCCGGACTTCTTCATCAAGACCCTGAATGAACGGTTTGATGCTCTTCGTGTTCCTGGAGCGAGCAGATGCCATTGGGCTACACTAGCAGGACAGGGATGAATGGAGACATTATTGGTGCCCGCTCAAGCAAATCAATGAGCAACAGGATGACAAAAGATGCAAGTGATGCCAAAGGTCCTCAGGGGTCATTTCTGACAGTGCCCAGGGAACCATGGGGTGCCAGAGAGCAAGCCTGGAGTCCCACATGCAAAGCCTATGCTCAATCCTTTGAGCTGTCTCCCCATCCTAGTGTCTGTGGTTTTTTTTTTTGTTTTTTGTTTTTTGGGTTTTTTTTTGCTTTTTAGGTCATACCCGGCAATGCACAGGGGTTACTCCTGGCTCATGCACTCAGAAATTACCCCTAGTGGTGCTCAGGGGACCAAATGGGATGCTGGGAATCAAACCCGGGTCGGCTGCATGCAAGGCAAATGCCCTACCTGCTGTGCTATCGCTCCAGCCCAGTGTTTGTGTTTTTTAAACTTGCATAAGCATGGAATTATCATTTCATAATATTGTGATTTTAAAAAGAATACACTATTATAATGTTTTTTTTTCTGCCTTGAACTATACCTATGAACTATTTGTCCTATTGTTGCCAGTGAAAACCAGTCATGTAAAGCTCTACTCCAAACCTCACTGACGCTTTTGTCTTCCAACCCATCCCTTCCAAATTAAAAAGAAAAAAACTTTTGTTTTTTTCATTCACACCTGGTGATGCTCAGGGGTTACTCTTGGCTCTGCACTCAGGAATGACTCCTGGCAGGGCTCAGGGGACCATATGGGATGCCAGGGGATCAGACCTGGACCAGTTGCATGAGCCCCCACCTGCCCCTTCTAGATTTTAATCCTGGCCCAGTTCTGTAATCCTCAGATTCCAGCCAAGGGCCCTGTCCAGGTTCTGATCTGGCAATGTCACCAGTTTGTGTGTGATTAGAGTTGATCTCTTCCTCTTCCATGAGAGACTCCGGCTTTAACTCTCTGCCACATGCCTGCAGTCCTGACGGTCCAGGGCGCTTTTAGAATGCCTTGTTTTCCCTCTTCCTTCCCCCCAAGCACAGTTAACCTGCGGCAAAACACTGACCACAGCCCACGCCCTGCCAGGCTGCCTGTCCTCCTGGGGGGCCAGGTGCCTGCTGGGCTGGGCAGCCACAGGCCATCGACTGGGGATGATGATCTGGGAGTGGCAGGGGGAGACTGGAGCTGGAAGGGCCGCATCATGCTTTATAATTACACCCAAATCAAAAAATAGAAGCAGCCTCAAGCGTGCGGAGACAGACAGTTGGAAACAGACAACACCAAGTGCCCGTCAGAAATGACCACGACCCGGCGTGGACATCCCTACCGGTGGGTGAGCGCCCTACTTCCGGGACCCAGGGAGCGTGCTAAGAGGGTCGGGCTCCTGCGCCTGCGCGCTGCTGGGGTCGGGCTAGGGGAGTCAGCGACAGGCATGGGGATGCCTGTAGAGGCCAGGGCTTGGCTTCTGCTCCAGCTCAGGGACGGGGCGCACCGTGGAATCTGTTGGAGCCCCAGTTCCTCCTCCGGTAGATGGAGGCAATTATATTACCCGCTTCAGATGGGTACTGCGGGGCTTGGGGGCGTGAGGGGAAAATATTAAGCACTGGGCTCTGTCTGGCACATCCCTACTTAAGGGGTGAACATAATAGTAACATCTATTATTGCTGGACTGAGAAAGAAACATTGGGGGGGGGGGGAAGAGGCCAAAATGGGAAAGTTGGGGGTATTCCCCTTTACCCGAGGCAGGCGGGTAGTGGGGTGCGTTGGGGTAGGGTACCTTTCTTTTATTATCTCAGATTCTCAAAGCAGCCCCGTAGAGGGCTGGGCCCAGAGGACTACACAGAAGCCTGAGATCGCCTCCCCTGATGCTCCCTTTCCTGGGGGACACAGATGCCCCCCGCCTGCCGCCCGCCTTCTGAGGTGCCTTTAGTGCTGGGCCCCTAGTCCTGCCTGGTCCCTGGGGTGGAGAGAAGGCGGGGGGGGGCACCCCAGGGGACAGCTCTTGGGTCTGCAGCCGAGGGGGCAGCAGCACGTGGGGGGAGCTGTGAGGGGTATGCTGGGAGGAGACAGCTCCAGAGAGTTCCCCAGGGAGTAGTGGCCAGGGCAGGCAGGGCCACGCACAGGGGCCTGTCAGCGACAGCGACACAGAAGCTGGTTCTCTGTAGAGAAGTGGCAGGGTGAGGGCTGGAGTGAAGGGAGAAAGGCTAGGCCATCCCGGGGCCTGCGGGAGGGTGGGCTCACATCTCGCCCTGCGCTGGCGGGCGGGAGGGGCAGGGCAAGGCCTAGAGATGCAGAAATCTGAGGAGCAGCGGCCACAGCCACAGGCTGAGCATGACTCACTGGGCACGGGGCTGGCGGGACTCTGGCTGCCACAGTGGGCTGGACTCCCTGCAGGACAAGACAGACAGGTGGGGGTTACAGCCAGGAGCCCTGAGAGGCCTCGACAGATCCCAGGTAAGGGACAGCCCTCCGTCCACAGGAAAGGCTCCTTCTGCAGGCTGGGTCCAGGGGGCAGGACTGTGGGCTCCCAGTTTTGCTCCCTGCGCTGGGGCTCCACCCTGCACCCTCTACAGGGCCCTCTGGTCCACGGGGGTTTCCAGGCAGAAGTCAGCTGCGAGCTGCCTGCTGGCCACCTGGTGGCAGCCTTACTCCACACCAAATTCAGAGGACGGCACTGCTGAAGCGTCGCCCAACCTGGTCCAGCCCTGCCAGGGGCTCAAGGAGCCCCCCAGTGTGGCTACCACATAGCTCGGTATAGGGGGGCTGCCCAGCCCGACACACGGGTCACTCTCTGCCCGTTAGTGACTGCGGAGCCAGATGCTCCTCACTGTCGGGTCAAACTAGAGCATCCTGAAGACTCAGAGAGTGAGGCCAGGCTCTGACAGGAAAAAGAAAAGCGTCTCCCTGCCCTCTTCTCCCCATCCCTCCCCCCAGTCCCCCTCTCGCTCCCCCACCAAAAAAGCAGTGCCTGCTCAAGGCCCAGAGTGAGTTGGACAGGCCCAAGAGATAGTACAGTGGATGAGGCATTTGCCTTGCATACGGATACCCAGGTTTGATCCCCAGCATCCCATATGGTCCTATATGGGAGTGATTCCTGAGTTCAGAGCCAGGAGTAACCCCTTAGCATCATTGAATGTGGCCCCAAACAAAAACAAGCCAAAAAGAGTGAGTTGGGCCTCAACTTCCCCTCCAGATCTCCCAATGGCGATTTTTTCCCCAACCCATTGGGAAATGCATTTCCATTCATCTCCACACAGCGAATCAGTCCCACAGAGTTCTAGGCCCGCGATCCTGGAATCCAGAGAGCTGCCAAGCTGAGACCCTTCCAGGGGAGGCGGGGGGCAGGACTGGGTTCCTGCCCACGGGGGCCTGGAGCTGCCCTCAGGTCCCACCCCCAGAATGCTAAGCGCTTCACAGCAAGGGGGTTCCGGGCGGAACCTCTCCTGCCCTGTTGTGCAGCACCCACTCCCCTCCTCCCGCCCGGTCCCAGGTCATGCCTTAGGTAGGTGGCCTGCCACTCAGCGTGCCCCGAGAGGCCGCAGTGGGGATGAAGGGGAAAGCCGGCCCTTCCCTTCCGCCCTGCCCCTCGGCTGCCCGCTGGGTGAGCTTCGCCAAGCCAGTGGCCTCCTTGGTGCCTGCGTCTCTCCCTGGTCTTGGCGTGGCCTACCAACGAGAAAAGACCCTCTTCCCTGTCTGTGCTGTCCCGAGTTACGTGTTGAGGGGCCCAGGGACAGTCGTTCAGGAGACGCGCCCCTTCCCAGCTCAGCCCCCGCCCCAGGTTCTGGTGCCGCTGCCCCAGCTCTTCAGGGTGACCAACTCCCTCGGCCAGCTGACTCCTGACACCACGCAGCCCAGCTGGGGGAGGCCTGGCCCGCAGCAGTGGCCCGAGTCATGGGGGTAAGGAGGAAACCCAGGGCCTCAAGGCAGACGTGTCCCCGTGCCGCCAGGCTCCCGCGCCAACAGAACAGCGACCATGCTGGGGCTGTGCTGGGGCCCCCAGTGTTTACTGGAAGACGTGGGTGTGGAATCAGAGGGACCAGATTGGACTGAAGCCTGTCCTGGCCCACCTGCCATGTGTCTGTGGGCCCCACTGTGGCCCTCAGTTTTCTCCGTGGTGGAACAGAGGCGGTGCCTCTCAGGGGTGTCAGCTCGTCCGGTTGAAGTGCTAACAGCTCCCAGCGCTTCTAGCCCTGCCGCTCACCCTGAGATCAGCGGTGCCCCCCATGGCCCTGGAGCTGAGAGACCATGGGGGCCTGACAACCTGCCCTGGCAACAGCAAGGGGGAACCTGATGGATGCTTGGCTTGTGGGGCCTTTCCCGGGAACCCTCAGCGCTCACAGCCACCTGAGGTCTCTGTTCTTGCAGAGTCCCCACCATCCCCTGGCCAGGACAGGAAGGGTGGATTCTGGACTGATGGAGGCCAGCCATTGGAAAACTCCAAGGGCCCCTGCATCTGGGCAGGAGAGGGGTCCCCAGCTCCACAATGGGGCGAGGCTCAGCCCCTGCCCCAGCAGAGCTGGTTAACAGTCTCATCCCAGAGCCAGGCCTTGCCCTCTGCATCTTTGGGCACCACCTCACAGCCCAGGGCCTGCCCTTCTGTGGGAACTTGACCCCCAGCCACTGTGGTGTCGGCTCTGTTCCAGGATGGACTCTCTACAGAAGCAGGACCTCCGGAGGCCCAAGATCCACGGGGCAGTGCGGGCTCCCCCCTACCAGCCGCCTACGCTGGCCTCGCTGCAGCGCTTGCTGTGGGTCCGGAGGGCCACCACGATGAGCCACATCAATGAAGTCTGGCCCAAACTCTTCCTGGGAGACGCGTAAGTGTGATCAGCGGCGTGGGGAGGAAGGAGCCCGCGTTCCCGTGGGAAGAGTTGGCATCACGATTCCCGCCTTTTCTCTCCCACTTCTCTGAATTATGGAAATGGAATGCACACAAGAAAAGTGCCCTGTTGTGAAAGAAAATAGTTTCACCTTTTTCAGGAAATGGGACATTTCTTGTGTCCCAGGAGTCCTCTCTGAATCCTCATCACATTTTCCCTGAGGATAACCCCTTTATGCTGAATAACATTCTTTCCTTGCTTTGTGCATGTGTGCTACCTACCTAGATGCTGTAGTTAGTTCCACCTGTCTTCTAAAGCTTGATGAGTGCAGTCATATTGTGTTTTGTACCTGTTTGCTCACAATGGTAAAATTCAGGGCAGGGCCGTGGAGCTCTCCCAACTGGCTCAGCTTATGCCTAGCATGGGTGAGTCCCTGAAACTGACCCTGGACACCTTGGGGCCCCTTGACTACTGCCAGGAGTGTTTCCATAAACAAGAACAAAAGCAAGAAGCAGTTTGTCAAACTCACCTGTGTTCTTCTGCATGCTCATTTTTGCCAGCTGCTTTAGGCTGAACCTGCAGGGTCAATCCACTCCATTATGTACAGACATTTGAGTTGCTCCCCGTTTTTGGCTAATGGGAACAGTGGCCCTAGGAAATTGCTAGTATTGTGTCCTAGGTACACACGCAGGTTTCTCTAGCAGGTAGATAGACAAGGAAATTGGAATGAGAGGGACCAGAAAGATAGGACAGGGTTAAGGTCTTTCCTTGCATATCCAGCACTGTGGACAGTGCCCTGAGTGCTGCCCGGAACAAGCCCTGAGCACTGTTAAGCATGGCGCAACAGTGCCCCTCTCCCCCTAAGAATTAATAGTCATTTTCCAAAAAATTTCCTATGCAATTATGTGTGACTTTAAAATTTTTTTTTCTGGGGTGGGAATGTGACTCAGTGGTAGAGTACATGCCTCACGTGTGTCAAGATCTGAGCTGGATCTCCAGCCCTGCAAAACAAAACAAAACAAAACAAAAAAACACCCAAAACCAAACAAAATCCCCTTAATATTTATAAAGTAGGGACAAATATTTTGTAAGCAAAACAAGTGCTTTCTCTAGCGGCACTAGCACTGAAATTCTTGTTGACTTTGAAATATGCATACGGAAATGCATAGATTTGCTTTTTCACAATTCTTTGGGGTGGGGGGCTCCCCGGTGGACCCGGGGAATCCTACCTGAGATTTCCAGCCAGCCATGTGGGCAGTTCAGAGTGATGTGTATGCCAATAGTGCTTATCAGGCTGGCACCCAGCATCACCTGGGGCTACCCTTGGGAGCACAGCTCACCCCCCCCCCAACAAATCTGATATTGCTTCAAAACTACATACTGTAATTTAATCTCTATAGAAAGATTTTTAAAAATTAAAATTTGTTTGTTTGGGGTGCTGGAGAGATAGTACAGTGTGTAAGGACCCTACCTTGCACATGGCTGACCCATGTGGCTGATGTAGGTTCAATCCCTGGTACTCCTTATGATCCCCCAACACCCACCAGGAGTGTTCCCTGAGCACAGAGCCAGCACTCCCTGGCAGTGCTGAGAGTTTGAGAGTTTACTCAGGGATGACTCCAGGTTGGGCTCAGGGGATTTTTTTTGGGGGGGGGTCTCACCCGGCGATGCACAGGAGTTACTCCTGGCTCATGCACTCAGGAATTATTCCTGGCAGTGCTCAGGGGACCATATGGAATGCTAGGAATCGAACCCAGGTCGGCGTGCAAAGCAAATGCCCTACCAACTGTGCTATTACTCCAGTCCCAGCTCAGGGGATCTTAGGGGTACTGGGGATTAAATCCAGGGTGGCTGCATGCAAGGCAAGCACCCTACCCGCTGTACAATCTCTCTTACCCACGGTAGGGAGCTTTTTTCTCTCCTTCCCTGCTCTTTGCTGTGCTGTGTTCATGCCAGGGCTTGCACCCCTGGTTCTTTGTGGCAGGAGCACACGCTGTGTTGTGAGAGGTCACAATGGCCTGTCCCCAGGTTCGTCCTTAGGTCACGCTCTCAGGTTCATGCCTGCAAGCCCAGACTCTACCTCTAGGAAGCTTTTGTTCTTTTGGTGGAGTAGTGGTGGTTTGGGCCATGCCTGGCAGTGCTCAGGACCTACTCCCGGCTCTCAGCTCTGGAGTCCATCCTGGCAGTGCTCAGGGACATACATGGTGTCGGAGATGGAACCAGGGTCAGCCACAAGGAAGGCAAGTGCCTGAACTCTTTTACTGACTCTCGGGTCTAGAAAACTTTTTAATTGCCACACTATACATTTGAAAACATTCTATGGGCTGGAGCCATAGTACACTGGGTAGGGTGTTTGCCTTGAGCACGGCCGACCCGGGTTCAATCCCCGGCATCCCATATTGTTCCCTGAGCACTGCCAGGAGTAATTCCAGAGTGCAGAGCCAGGAGTAACCCCTGAACATCACCAGGTGTGATCTAATAAAACAACAACAACAACCCACAACAAAAACAAAAACAAAAAATCCATACTGAACAATGGTCTGTTTTGTATTTTGCATCTTTTTATAGATTTTCAATGTAGTACAAACAACGTGGTTACCTAGTATCTAATTTAATTATGCCTAGTCATTCTCTTATTATTTCGTGAATTTCCCCCAGCGTTTTCATTTTGCTTTGGGTTCCAACTGATGGTGCGGGAATCACTCCCAGCAGTGCTGGGGATTCGGGCCCAGCCTCTGGCAGGCAAAGAGAGCATGTGTTTCAGTCCAGCTTCAGTTTTAACCCTCTGAAGAATCGTTAGCTCCAGTTCGCATCCGTTTGTAGGCATACTTTTGATCCTGTAATTTCCTGAAAGAAGACTTGCTGCAGTGGAAACATAATTTGGCCACACTGCCCTCTAGAGGCAGCCGCCTGAGTTTGGGGGTCCTTGGATACCTTGTAGAGGAGCCCATTCACCTTGCACCAGGGTGCCCTTCTGTGACTGTCCTGGAGGAGAGGGTGGCAGAGGCCAGGGGCGAGTCCAGCTCTGCCAGGGCTGTCCCCCAGCTCTGCCCTTTGCTCTCCCGCCAGGTATGCCGCGCGGGACAAGAGTAAGCTGGCGCAGCTGGGCATCACCCATGTCGTGAATGTGGCAGCGGGCAAGTTCCAGGTGGACACGGGTGCCAAGTTCTACCGCGGGATGCCCTTGGAGTACTACGGCATCGAGGCCGACGACAACCCCTTCTTCGACCTCAGTGTCTACTTCCTGCCTGTGGCTCGATATATCCAAGCCGCGCTCAGTGCTCCCCAAGGTGCTGGGGGTTGCAAGGGTGTGTGTGTGTGTGTGTGTGTGTGTGTGTGTGTGTGTGTGTGTGTACGTTCGCGCGTGCGTGCATACAGATGTTCGTGTGGGGGGGTGTGCATGCGTGTGTGTGCGTGGGTGTGTGTGCGCGCATGCGTGTCCAAGATTTCTGGGCGTCCACATTTAAAAAAAATATTTTGTAGGAGTGGGTGTGGTGGCCAGAGCCCCACACTGCAGGGGTCCAGCTGCCACCACCCAGAGACGCGGCGGGCCAGGAGAAGGGGTGCCCTGTCACCAGCTGCTGTGTCATCTGGGCCTCCTCCTTCTTTCCTTCTCGCACCCCTATTGCCCCATCTGACAGTGAGGATTGTCATTTCCAGATGCTGTGATGGGCCGGAAGCTCTGGCTCCCTGGGACTGTGGGGCAGAGTGCTGAATCTCCTTCTAGAGGAGTCCCTCCCCTGCACCAGGCCACTCTCCTGGCTCTGCTAACGGAGGAAAGGGTGACAGAAGCAGGAAGGGGCAGCTTGGTGGGGTCTGTGCCCCTGAGCTCTGCCCCCTGGCTGCCCCTTAAGCTCAGGCCAGTTTCTGGGGTCTCGCGGGCTGACTCTGGGCTGGGTTTCCCCGCAGGACGCGTGCTGGTACACTGCGCTATGGGGGTGAGCCGCTCTGCCACGCTCGTCCTGGCCTTCCTCATGCTCTGTGAGAACATGACGCTGGTGGAGGCCATCCAGACGGTGCAGGCCCACCGGGACATCTGCCCCAACTCGGGCTTCCTCCGGCAGCTCCTGGTTCTGGACAACCGACTGGGGCGGGAGACAGGGCAGCTCTGAGCCCTGGCCCAGCCAGCCAGCATGGCCCAATCTAGCCAGCCCTGACGGACGCAGCGACCACTGCAGGGGCCCGTGATGTAGACACTGAAGAGCAAGAGGGGGCTTCGCTGAGAGAGAGGCGATAGAGCTCAGTGGGGACCTTTTCAGCAGGTGGACTTCCCTGACCCAATCCAGAGATTCTTTATGCAAAAAGAGAATTCAGTCTGCTCTATAATAATAATAAAAAAAAGTTCATCAGAATAAAGACTGGAGAGCTTCTGGTGGTTTTTGAGGGAGGGGCTGACACTCAAGACGACCTCCAGGTCTCTGAGCAGACTTGCTGATTATGATTCAGAGAGAGGCCACAGGAGGGCTTCTCGGAGGAGGAGGCCAGGTTAGCGAGGGTCATGTGTGGAGAGGGTGGGTGTGCACTGACAGCTCGCCCACGTTTTTCCTCATCTTGTGGAAAGCTTGCCCTCAAATCACAACTCAAGAGCTGGTGGGGGCAGGGGAGTGTTTTTGGGTTTTCTTGTTGTGTTTTGTTTGAGGACCACACCCAACTGTGCTCTGTGCTCAAGGACCACTTCTGGCGGGGCTCAGAGGAGCATATGGGGTGCCAGGGATCAAAACCAGGTTGGCCGCAAACAACATAAGCGTCTTACCTTCTGTACTACCTTTCTGGCTCCAAGAGCAGGGGTGTCCGAATAAGGACCACAACCCGGCGCCTCCCCTTTTCCATACATGCCTGTTCTAGCAAAGCAGATTACGGCTTGCTGCATATAGGCGGCATCCCCTGAACCCGGTAATTTTCCTCACTGCTTTCCTCCGCCCCTCTCGGAGAGCCCGGCAAGCTACCGAGAGTACCTTGCCCACACGGCAAAGCCTGGCAAGCTACCCGTGACGTATTCGATATGCCAAACACAGTAACAATTGTCACAATGGAGACGTTACTGGGCCCCCTCGAGCAAATCGATGAACAACAGGAGGTCAGTGACAGTGACAGCTTTCCAAACGCGCCTGACCAAAGGCACTGAACAAGAGGAGGGACTGGTGCTCTAATGATGTGAAACGTTTAGCTCTGAGTTTCTCACTTCTTGGGCCCAAGTGAAATAGAACACAAAAGCCAGCAGCAGCTAGGAGTGGCAGCCAGGATGCTGGTGAGTGGCCCGCCTCTTTCTGTTGCTGTTGGTACTTGCCTTCCCTAGCTGCCTCTCAGGCATCGGTCAGTGTTTCAGGGTGCTGCCTCTTCTCCCTTAAAGCTCCTGCCCCCTGAGTGGGGAGGAACCTCTTTCCCCTGTCACAGTTCACATCTTTCAGCTAAAGATTCTTAAACTCTTATGACCAGTCCAGTTCTCCCTCCTGAGCTCAAATCTTCTGGATCCCACTGGTACACTTGCACTTGGATACTATACTTGAACTGCAAATTCAGCTGAACTTCTCATTGCCCTGTACCTCATCCCAGCCTCCTCCTCTTCCTCACCTGAGTAGAGGATTCTGACAGCTCTTGCCACCCACGTCTGAGGGGCACACACTGGCTTCTCCCCTCAATTCCACATAGCCTACGAAGTCTACCTCCACCACACCCTTCAGATTGGTTCATGTGGGGCATCTTTGTAGTGAACACCCGACGTCAGGCACCTTTTTTGCTTCTCACTGGGATGTGTTTTTCCCCCCTTCATCTTTTTCCCACCAGGATTCTTGCAAACCCTGCTAATAACAGTCTTTCTACCTTGGCCTCCAACTTCAGCACAGAACACATGGATTTTTTAAAAAAAATTATTTTAGTGAAGGCCCTCCCATTGTTCATCGATTTGCTCGAGCGGGCCCAGTAGCGTCTCCATTGGAGACTTTGTTGTTACTGTGTCTGGCATATCGAATACGTCACGGGGAGCTTGCCAGGCTCTGCCGTGCGGGTGAGATACTCTCGGTAGCTTGCTGGGCTCTTTGAGAGGGACGGGGAATCGAACTCGGGTTGGCCATGTTGGCTGCGTGCAAGGCAAACGCCCTACCGCCGTGAGATACAGTTACAGACTTACAAACTTCCATGATTATGTTTCAGTCACACAATGTTTGAGTACCCATCCCTCCACCAGTGCCCATTCCCCACCACCAATGTTTCCACCACCCTCCCGTCACCCTCACCCCTTCCCACCCCCCACCTCTGTGGCAGACACATTCTCTCTCTCTCTCTTTCTCTCTCTCTCTCTCTCTCTCTCTCTCTCTCTCTCTCTCTCTGTGTTATGGTTTTCAATACAGTAAGTGATAAGTAAGTGGCCATCATGTTTGGTCCATAGTCTACTTTCAGCACGCATCTCCCATCCCGAACAAGCTCTCCAACCATCATTTACTTAGTGGGCCTCCTTTATGCCAGCTGCCTTTCCCACCCCCAGCATATGAGACAGGCTTCCAAGCCATGGAGCGATCCTCCTGGCTCTCATCTCTACTATCCTTAGGTGTTAGTCTCCTATTATGTTACTTTATATTCCACAAATGAGGCACACATAAATCTTACTAAAAGGAAAATTTCATCTGGTTACTTTCCACTCACAAGCCCTGAAGCACAGCACACCTTGAGAAAAGTATAAAGCTGCCTCATTATCTAAAGCCTTTTCATTTTCTCACATATCTCATGCAACTCTGTTCCCAAGAACATCACTGTATCACTGTCGTCTTCTTGTTTGTCGATTTACTCAAGCGGGCACCAGTAACCTCTCTATTCGTCCCAGCCCTGAGATTTTAGCAGCCTCTCCTTACTCGTCTTTCCCAACGATTGGAGGCTCTTTCAGGGTCAGGGGAATGAGACCTGTTATAGTCACTGTTTTTGGCGTATCAAATACGCCACGGGGAGCTTGCCAGGCTCTGCCTATGCTTCAAGAACACAGTTCCCAATTAAGAAGTCACTTAATCAACTTGCAGTTTCTAGAACACACCACATCCTCTTCTTACCTTAGAGATTTTTCGCATGCTTCTGGTTGTTCTACCTGGACGTGCCATGCTTAACCGGTTCTCCTTGAGATCTCAGTTTAGAGGCCACTTCTGGACAGACTCCCTGTCCTCTAACCACTTCCATGAGCCTGGGCAACCAAACTATACAGCACTGTTTCTTCTAGGACTCTGAATGATGGTTGCCTGATAACATTCTTTTCCAACTTCTGGTCTCCGATCAGCCCCACATCCTGTGGCTATGACCCCACCCTCAGGTATGGCCCTGCCATTTTGTGCTCTACAGAATTTAACAGCAGAGATTGGACGCCACAGGTCCAGGCCTGGGCCTGCCTCCAAGGGTTACTTCTGCTTCTTCCAGCCCCGTCTGAACCCAGCAACCGTTTGGTTGCCCTGGCGCCCTCTTCCCATATCTGGACCTTGTGGTCACCTTGCATCCCAGAGTCTCTTCAAGACCAGCTCTCCCTTTCCCTTCTCTACTGTCTCATCTCTGTATAGAGGAGAGGAGCTTTTTTTTTAATTTTTGGGTCACTCCCAGTGATTCTCAGGGATTTCTCCTGGCTCTGCACTCAGGAATTATTCCTGGCGGTGCTCAGGGGATCATATGGGATGCTGGGAATTGAACCCGGGTCGGTCGTGTGCAAGGCAAATGCCCTACCTGTTGTGCTATCGTTCCAGCCCCAAAGAGGAGCTTTTTTCTGAACAAATTCAAAAAGGTGCTCCTTCTGCATACACCAGTTCTTCAACCTGTTTAGGTTGCAAGCAGCCAAGTTGGTCAAGGGAAAGTGTCCCTTGCTCCTGCACGGTGACAGTCAAGTCAGGGGGCTCAAGTGATAAAGAAGAGCTCAGGGTGTGTTTTATCTTCCATCACCCCGTCTGAAACTCATAAACAGTGCAAATACCTGCCAGCTGGGGGTTCGTGAACCCATTGCGCAGATGAACACAGTGCCGAGGCCCAGAGAAGATGAGGTGAAGCTGGGGGTTCTTTCCTGGATCCATGATCTCTTTGCTCAGGCCTCAAAGGAAGGTTCTACCCAGGTGGCTCCCCTATCACCGTCTGTGTGGCTCTTGGCCCTGGCTCTGGCTTGATGCCCCTGTGCTTTTGTGGAGGAGGTAGACACATCCTGCCTGAAGATGGGGGAAGGGCTGTGGGGCTCTGCTCACCCGGACAGGGGTCCTGCTCCAGTCTCAGCCCCAGAGAACTCCAGTCTGAGTTTTCTGACTGCAAACTCTTCTGTTCAGCCTTAAACTGGGGACTGTAGTTATGAAGGTAGCCCCCAACTCAGTAGTTCAGTTTCCTACCCATTATCAGCCTCATCCAGCCCCTTTACCGGACAGCTCAGCCCTTGTTGCTTTTTCTTGTACAAGCACTGTCAGCAGAACCCAAGTAAGTGGCCAGTCTCTAAATGAACACCCCCGATGGCTAGGGCGGGGTGCCCAGGGGCTGGGACGGACCTGTTCTCTGGGCCAGGGACTTGAATGTCAGCACTTCCCTTATTGCTGAGGGATAGAACCAGAATCTAGGGTGGCAAGATGAAGAGGGAGGGAAGCCCCAAGAGGCAGGTAACATGGCCACCCAACTCTTCCCCAGACACGAGAGGAAACGGAGGGTGCGTCTCCACCGGAAAGCCCCTGCCGGCGCACTTGCTGATTGGTGTCCAGAGCCTCTCCCTGACCCTCTGCTCTCAGTGACCCCAACGGTGGGCCGGTGTAATAAGCATGACTTGGGAACCAGTGTACCTGCCTTTGAATCCTAACTTGGGACTTTAACCAGGTGGTGCTTGTCCTCAGCATACCAATCTGTAACATCCTTCTACAACTGGAGGAGTCCAATGAGTTATTGTGTTACAAAGTCACTCTTCCTTCTGTCAATCTAAAATGAGTCAGTGGAGCTAGAGAGATTGTGCAGTGGGTAGCGTGCTTGCCATGCTTGCAGCCAACCCCAGTACTGTCCCTGGCAGCCCATAGGGTCCCCTGAGCACCTCACAGAGCTGCCCCCAGCATAGCCTGGTGTGGCTCTCACCCCCATCAAATATTTTTAAAACAAAACAAATAATGCCCAAATAAAAAGTTTTTCT